TTTTAATATATATTATAATGGGTGGCTTCTACTTTACAAACCTTTAATAGAAAGTGGTACCAACAGTTTAATGAAGATAATAAACAACATCTGTTTTTATTGATAAGTCTAAAGTGTTGTAAACTTGTTTTTGTGTTTCAGTGAACTTCATGCAAACACCAACAATCATGCCTGAACAGAGAAATGTCCACTCTGACGAATCACAACGAGCGTCCAGCTCTACCTGCAGGAGATATAAGTATTCATGATGTTAAGTGGGTAACGCTGCGGGCACCTGAGGGCCAATCGTTGAAGCCACTTTTACACGGTGGCTGAAGCTGGTATTGCAGCGTCACGTGATGCCATTAGGGCCCGAAAAGACTTTTCCCCATACTCTTACATTTGGAAATAGACGTCTGTAAATCAGCTGATCACTGTTTTAGAGGTTCATCAACTTCCTGATACAAATACTTAAAAAACCCTTTTTAAAATCTTAAAGGCTTTAAATGTGATTTTTCACTCTTAAATGTAGAAATCAAGTATCTCCTCTGAAAATAACTCTGTGAGTCATGACTGTCTACAATGGGTGTAACACCCGAGTCCCACTGTCTGTGATGTTTTCAGAGTTTTCAGAGTCCTATCTTCAGTTTGTTTACATCGCCCGGACGGCCGGCTGACTCCTCCCCTCGTGTATAAAAGTTGTTTAATTGAGGGACTAGAGAAAAGAAGAATAACATACTGTACTCACTGCTTAACTGTGTTTCTAGATCACGCTCATTTCAGGTAAATTTACATGCAGTGTGAAGATACCAGCATAATAAAGATCGCTAGCATTAGCATGCTAACACAACAATGCACCGTGAGTTGTTTTGGTTTCATGCTGGTGCTCAAGGGCGACATCTGCTGGATCAAAAAATCACATATAAAGCCTTTAAAGTCTTAAAAGTTGTAAAATGCAATAAAAGCTTCATTCAGATTTGTTTTGTAGACATAATGAAAACAGATCAGAGTCACAGGACTGGGACTCAAAGTGTGCATGCTCCACGGGCCAAGTAACGATGCGATCCATTTACCTCAGGACTCAGATGTCGGAGCTGGGAATGACATCACCGTTCAAACTGGTCCAACTGCAAGTCGGACAGGCAACATGGACGCCTCCTTTGTTTTGTTAGCTAATATCTATCACAGATAGAGCTGCATGATGCTATCGGTGTGATTAATTTAAATTCAGAAGAAGAGGACTAACATAATACTGCACAGCTTAAACGTTACTGTTGATGCATTGGATGCAGTTGGATTTTTAACTCCAAAACTCCTTAAGATTGGAATTCCAATCTCCAAGCGGACGTTCCCAAGTATCAGACGATCTGTTATTTACAAAGATCTGGGTACTGTTAAACGTGGAAGTCTGACACTTGAGCTGAGCAGCTTTCATAGGAGTGAACCGGGCTCCGCCTCCAATTCTGTATTGACCCACGGAGCATGCACACTTGGAGTCGCAGTCCTGTGGCTCTGATCTGTTTTCATGTCCACAAAATATCTCTGAACTCGGCTTAGGGGGGGTTAGATTTTCAAAATAAAAGTCTGACTTGAAATAAAGTCTCTGTTTTTATATTTTTGTTTCTCCCCTCATCCCCTAAACATCTTTGGGGAACGTAATATCTCAAAGTGAAGAATGACGTCGAAGGACTTGTGAAAATGGACATTTCTGCAGTGACTTAGGTTTACTTCAGCCAATCGCTCATAGTGATGATGATGATGATGGCGGCGTCAGTGACATCATCACCGTCGTCATCATCTCGAGGAGCCAAAGAGAAGAGCAGCACAGAGAAGAGAAACGTAACCCAGTGAGCACACAGATGAGGCATGCAAGTCGACATCCACAGGAACAAATTTATTCATAAATAAAACTTCATCACAGCATCCAACTCTAAACACAAACAGCCATGCAGACACGTTTGTTTACCGACGATAAAACTCTCAAAGCAAAAAAACAAACAAAGAAAATAATAAAATCCACAGCCAAGTAAAAGTGAACTATATTTCAAAACACATTGAAATAAATAGTCCGAAAGCCACAAAATGCAATAAATACATCACTATTCAGGGTCTGAACCGAGACAGTCAAAAAGAGCTCCACAGGCATGAAGGCGTTTATAAAAGCAGACATTAGTTTGTGTTTCATTGCAGAAGCTTTTCTAAACATCACCGGTCACAGCGTGAGAGTGAAGAAACTGCAGAGTCCCATCTCATCGAAACATTTCTGTTACACACACTGCTCATCACACAGGCCTCACAGTGTTCAGGGTTCAAGTTTCTCCTAACGAGGATTAGAGACACCGACGGACGAAGTGTGGGAGAGAAAAATGTTCAATCCTTTGAGGTTAAATCCAAAATATTTGCAGAATTAAGACTTAAGATTAATTAATTAAGATTTAATTTAAGATTTTAAAGATTCTGTGGGGGCTTTTTGCCTTAATTTGTAGGACAGTGGATAAATTGGTAAAGACAGACTTGAACCCGGGCTGCCCGCTTGAGAACTAAAGCCTCCGTACATAGGGCACAACATAACCGCTAGGCCATCTGCGCCCCCTAAATAAATCATTTTTGTGTTTATTTTTAGACTTATTAAAACAGAAAGTCCAAAATCTTTCAGTCTCTTTCATCACATCTAAAAGGACCAAACCATTTTTTTGTTTTGCAACAATCTGACCGGCGCTGAACTACAGCTCACAGATAAATTATTACAACTCCACATTTTTGTCTCTTACAGAACCCCTCTTGTCCAAATAGGTTACTTTTTTTACTCCAAATATTACAACTTTCTTTCTTTCATCTTGTTTTTTAAACTGCTCAGTGTCATGTGCCGTAGTGTTTTGGGTATTTTTCTCTCTCTCTCTCAACTTCAGAGTTCAAACACTTTGGTTTTCTGGCCCAATTTCACCAACTACCAGACTCTGCATCTCCATTATTTCATTTTTTCTCAGAATATTTCCGTTTATTCCCCAAAGGACGAACACTTTTCTTCTCAGTGGCTCTAAAACTCTTTGAAAACAAAACTAGTTAACAAGAAAGAAACTCTGAATAGAAGCAGTGTGAGAGCAGAAACGTAAACCGATGTGATGGAAACTTAGATAAATGTTTTTTTTTTTGTTTGAGTAAAAGCTCCCGCGGTCATTTCATGTGCAAAACAGCGTCAAGAGTTTCACCACCAGCAGAAGCAGAGCCAATCCCTTCTTTTTATTTTTGGTTAGTGCACCAACAACCGCCGAGCTGAGGTTTCGGAGGGGGCCGGCTCGTTCCTCCGGTCCTCCAGTGCATAAAGTGAGAGAGTCCCCTGTAGCGGGTTGTTCAGGTGTCTGTTGCTATAGTTACCCGGGGTTTTTGGGCTCGCTGTCTCTGGGGCCGCTTCCTTTCAGCTTGCGGACGAGCTTCTCGCTGCTGCGGCGGATCGACGCTCGCAGTTTGCTGAAGGAGCCGCTCCTCTTCAGCGAGCCGGAGCCGTCCTGATGGGAGACGTCACAGGGGTTAAACTCACTGACACACACACACACACACACAAAGGAGTGTGTATGCTGGATGTACATTAGCATCAGAGCAGTGCACTGTTAGAAGGTACCTTCAAAAATGTCTAGCAGTTTGTCTCGTGCAGGAATATGCAGATTTTAAATTTCCTCAACAGAATCAGAAGCTCAGGACAGTTACCAGTTTGGAAAAGATGCAAAGGAACCTGATCGTAACCTGCAGCTTTTTTGGAGACCATGATTTTTTTTAAAATTGGGACGTGTGGTGAAATTCACAGGACATACTTGCAGATTTACAAAAAAGGTTCTGAGGTCTTCAAACGCCGGTGCAACACCTGAATACAACCACACATGTATGTGCACAGTTGCTACATCTGATGTGCCTACATAATGCAGGCGCACACTCAAGATGCAAACCTGTGAAGTCACTACATCAGTGATCATTGCATCGTACATTACGGAGTCGTTTTAGAAAGGTCTTGATGCACGCACGCACGCACATTTTCTCTCCATTCCTCTGCAATGACCATTTCATTTACAAAGTGGTCCACTCAGGCGCCTCTGCTCGTCACCATAGTGGGAGAGGCGTCTTGTGTCTATGTGTGAATAAGTCCAGTTAGCAACGTTAACACCAAAACTAAAATGACAGCGTCACACAACGCAGTGTGACGTTACGATCCCAACAGAGTTTCTGAAGATATTTCCCCTGGAAGGAGTTTTTAAAAAGAAGTGTGTTTTCAGTGACATAAAATGCAGTTTGGCTACAAAAGGCCGTAACAAAAAAAAAAAAAGCTGTGTTTTCAAAATACCCGCCTACATGTGGACGAGGACTTTCTCTGTTGCACATGTTGTAGATCAGATTCAGACACCTTCATGTGTCAGTAACCTGAAGAAAGTGACCTACCTTCAAACAGAGCAGGGCTCTGAGAAGTGAGACAAATATTTAAAAACTATTCAAAGGTCCAAACATGGATGTGGACGAGCCGCTCTTAACTGAGAGTTGATGGATTTTACATAAACAGGATTTTAAAAACAAGCTCAAATATTATATTATAGCTAACAGACCAGTTTGTTTCTTAACCTCATTCAATGTTTTTTTTAATAACTCTTAAAAATAAGGAGTCACTGAGAAACACACCTGAGCATGATCAGCGCTGGAGATGGTTTGGTGATAAGTCTGCTGGTCATTAGCGATGCCCTAATATCCCGTCTTAATGGACGGTTGTGGTGACTGCGATGAGATCAATAATCTCCACAGAGCTTGATTTGACTTTTAGATTATATAGTTGGGAAATGTGTGAAAAGCGTAAAGCAGGAGAAGATATTTATTACAAATACTCAAAGCTGGAAGAAGAAAAGAAAGAACTAGAAAATGTCTGAATAAGGAAAAAAACTGTTAAGTGGTTAAGTTACCAACATAACCCTCGATCTACCCAAAGTTCAGTTTTTAGTCTAAAAATAAAAAAATAAAAAAAATAAAAAATAAAAAAAAACTTCTAAACAGGAAGTAACAGTCAGGAAGAACCCTGAGCTAAAGCCCGTCCAAAAAAATCAAAATAAGCTTAAAATACTGTCAAACATGGTAATTACATTTTTTGATTTATTTGAATAAAAATGATGAAGCAATTCCACAGCCGTCTTTTGTCCCTGCTACGTTAGGGCATGATGTCTATGAGTGCGTTTGAGGATTGTTGTACCTCAGTAGTTTAAAAGCTCTTTATTTTTTTTATTGTACATCATCTTGTTTATGCTCTAACTCTTTTTTTTTTTTAATCTCAACACAATCTCCATATGACAAAAAGAGTAAAGTGGCTCCAGCTGAGAGGTGTTAATGTTTAGAGCTCACTCCGTTATCAAAGCACACACAGAGAAAAGAGAGGGACGCACACAAAGAGGCGACAGGCACAGGTTCAGGTGAGCAAAGAGTTTAGGTTTTATTAGAAGTTAAGAAAGACAAACTGGAAGATGCACAAACAGGACAGGACACGCAGAAGATTATTAGCAGGAGCGGAGAACAGAGACGAGGAGGCTTTAATAATTCCTACATTTCCAACATATTCAACATTGCTTTGTTCACAGCGAAACCCTCTGCACCCCCCCCCCCCCCACCCATTTACTCAAGACACCTATATACAGATATACAGAAGGTCAACAGGCTAAATGCACAATGTTTAAGCTTTTTAAAGACAATCACTCCTTCTCCTCTGAAACTGAATTACTGTGCCAGTCTATTTGTAACACATCATGCATGAATCCTGCTCCCTTTAAAGCGTCTTCTTGTTGACATCGAAGGTTTAGTGTGATATCGTTGCTTACAGATGACACAGAACGACACACTAACGACTAAAACTCTAAAACCCACAGAGCCACAATCAACGGTGCTCTCGCTCATGCTGACGAGTTTTTTACTTTTTTATTTTTAAGGAGATGTTATTTACAGCATGTTGAATCACTACGAGCTTTGAGTCACCACTAATGAGTTCAGATGTAAAACGCCGAGAGGAAAACAGAGGACGGAGAAGGAGAGAGAGAGGAGACCCAAAGAAAGGAAGAGGGGATAAAACGTTAAAGCTTTAACTCTGACCGTTTCATTCCTGCAGAGTCAGATTGTGAGAGGGGATGTGTGTGTTTGATCAGTTTGGTGTGATGTCACAGGGTGTGATCAGTGTTGTTCCTTGTTTACAGTCATGTTGATATTTCCCTGCTGAAGATCCTTTAGGTGCGAATACGTTGACTTTTTTTTAACCCCAAAAAATCTAGGGAGAAGTGGGCAGAAAATCTAAAATAATTTGACTTCAAGGATTTAGTTTAAATGTGCAGATCTACATGAAGGACTGGATGTGCACCCACGTCTTCTTTAATTAGATATTTGAGGATATTATCTGTTTTACAGCATGTTTAATAATATTTATATCTAATATTTCTACATATTTTAACTGTTTTCTTCACTTTCATCCACTAAAGGAATGCAATGCTTCCCTCAAACATCAACTTTCTTAAACATACTGATATACATGTGTTGCAAAAGAAGCATCTTTGATTCCTTTAGATTGATTTTTAGTGTTGTTTTGTGTTGAGTTGTGCTCCGGGAGAGCGGATATAACTGCTTAATGCCTCGGGTGGGATTGGAAAGTTTTAAGTCAGGGACTTGGGATCTTTTAAAGTTGGGGTTTTGTTGTTGTTGGTTGTGTGTCTCTTCCTTGGGTTGCTCTGTTGCCGTGTTTTTTTGGGTTCTCATGCGTTCTTGTTATGTTTGCTGTGGCACTTTGTCAACCCTTGTTTTTAAGAGAGCTTCAAAATAAAGTTATTATTTTTATTATTATCGGGATTCAGAGTGATGCTTCACAGAGCAGTTTAGAGAACAAGGTAGGAGTCACAGATTTTAAGGAAACACCCTAAAAACCTCCCCAGCATCTACAAAATGAGTCTGCAGTCAGAATGACAGTTTAAAGTTTTAACTGGAGAGGGGCAGAAAGAGAGGGAGCTAGAGAGAGGAGAGGGGGACAGAAGGAAGATCATGGTAAGAAGAAAGAGTTCAATATCCTCCCCCAGTTCTCTCCCACCCACAGCAGATACAAACACAACTCTGCGTAATCCAAACTCCAACCCACTCCTCGTTAAAGCAACATTAGCGCTGTGGATCGCCCCCGGCCCGTGAAGATTCCCACCAGAACCCAGAGGAGGTAAAGAGATGAGGGAGCTGAAGAGAACTGCAAAGCTGAAGGGACTGACGCGAGGAAAAGGTGAGGCGAGGCGTCCGTCATGCAGAAGACAAGTTTTTAGAATCATTACAAGGCATCTGGAGTTATGCCTGCCGGTCAGACGGAGCGGGAGGAGACAAAGAGTGAAAGAGAGAGAGAGAAAAGACAGTGAGATGAGATGTGGAGAGATCGAATTTAGAAAAAAAAGACAGGGGAAGAGAACAGTAGAAGAAGAACACAGGAAGGGAAACAGTGAATTAAAGACACTGAAGCAGGATTTACAGATCAGACACAGTATTTCTCTACCAGCTTTGGGAAAAGCATCACACCCTAAACTTTTAGAAAACAAACACAAAACAGGAAAATACAAGTCGAGTTAAATGGCAGGTTAAGGATTCTGATTGGTTAGAAAGCTCAAATTAAGAAAATAGAAGAATGATGTTGAAAAAAGATGAAGAAAACTAGGCAGCTAAATATTTAGTTTGAGTTTGATTTATGTCTGTGTCATCCTACTTAGGTTTCTAGGATAAAGAACTAAAAAAAACCCCAGACTTTAATTCTCTAAGGCCGTCAACCATTTTCCAAAAAAAGACTCAAAATAGCGTGATGTCTCGCCCACAGAAGCGTTCGGAGCGCAAACACCTTAACTGATTCTGAGCTTACAAGACAAGGACTGAGTAGAAGTTATTATCGGCCCCGTCTGAACTCAATTCACACCTCCTGTTTCCCGCCTCAGGTGTGACAAAAAATACAAGATCTCGACTGAATGAACTGATTTAAAAATACCAGGAGAGTCGCACAAGGCAACAAAAATGCACCTTCTCCTCGCCTTTGTTGGACACGCCCCTCACCTCCATGTCACTACTCATTGGTCTAACCAACTAACCTAACCAGCCCACTTTTGCAGGTGCCTCATTGGCCAATATATAAATGTGGATGTTATTTGATTGGTTGCCTGTATGTATTTTTATTTCTTTTACCTTTTTCTCAATTTCGTACCGACCCTATGTAAATGTTGTGTGCCATGTGTTTCTTGATGACCCTGATGAAGGCCACAAGCCGAAAAGCGTCGGTCTAATTTGTTAATAAAGTTGTCTTCACACTACAAGTGTTGCTGGAGCTTTTTGACCTCAATGAAAATGCAACTAGACTCTCAGAGTTTAGCTTGTTTATAGCAGGAAACAAAACTCTGCCTTTCTCTCTTTGTTCTTAAAACTGAGTGAATTGTAAATTAAAATCAAATATAGATAAATACTCCACTATTCTCTTGATATTAAAAGCATTAAGATGGTTGTTACAGTTGTGCTTATTTCTTGTATTCATCAATTTTAAACTCTGACTTCACCCCCACTGTTCATCCCGTTAAGTGATTAAATGTGATGTAATTCTCAGAGTCTGCCACTAGGTGGAGCCTTTGCACACTCTAAAGTGATGGAGAGCTACCGCGTCTGTATCTGGAACATCGTTAGCACAATTAGATCAAGTCAGAACGTTTAAACTTTGTTAGGAAACCACACAACGAGCACAGAGGGGATGCAGGGAGGAGACACATGAGAGCAGCCAGACAGCTACTGAAAAATGTGATCGTTGATTATTTTGATTTGATTGTATCAGCAGAATGAAGTACGAAATTATTAGAGAAATTATGAACATTTTTGTTATGTGTATGTGTTTCTAAAATGACAGAGAAGATGTCCTAAAACACACACTCACTAATTAAAATACTGAAAACCAACAATATTCAATAATGTTTAAGAAAGAAATGCTTCAAAAATCACTTTTACATGTTCCACACCTCTGGAATAAAGTCAATCCAGTAATCACTAATGAGCTTTTATTGAAGTTATTCTATAACTGCACTATATGACATCTAAAAACATTAATTGAGAAGTATATTTAACACAACTGAGCTGAATAACAGTTAGCATTAATGGTGTTTTTAGCTCATTTGATTAAACAAACTGTCCTTCCTCTCTGGCTGCTAACATCCAAACAAAAGAAGCAGAAGGAAATTAACAAAGACACCAGAACAAAAAAAAAAAACACCCAGCGTAAAGTTCTGAGACAGCAGCTTAAGACACAAAGGGAAAGATGCACACATGCACAGGAACATAGAGCACAGTGTTTCAGGATCACATACAGAAGGAGTACAGTACAGAGCCCATGTGGAGTCAGATGAACAGACCGATGAGTCACGCAGGACTCATTTGATTAGAAGTGAGGAGAAAAACTGTTTTCACACCTGCCTGTGGAGAGAGCTCAAGTGGAAGTGATGATTTCTTTGACAGGTTGGAAGACAAAGAAAAAGGTGTGACAGCTGCAGGGAGGCGGTGGGGGGGAAAAATACTCAAACACTAAGTTTAACCTATTAATGTTTTCATAGAGTCAAATATAAGCTGCAATGACTGTGTTGACTCTTTCTCATTCAGCTGTATTCAACACCCTACACCTGCTGTCTGTCCCACTAACTCATTATAAGACTCGTGGTGATCGTGCGTTTGAGGCCATAGCATCAATCCTCTGGAATTCCCTTCCCATCTCATTACGCTGGAGCTGATCCCAGCTGTCATTGGGCGAGAGGCGGGGTTACACCCGGGACTGGTCGCCAGACAATCACAGGGCTAAATTAGTATTTTAATTAACGTAATTGTTGGAATTTAATTTAATGTTTGAGAACTTATCCTTCCTTTTCATCTCTACTTGTACATATTTTTTAAAATCTTCCTGTCATCTTCTTCTGCTGCTGTGAGATAAAGTTTAATCACATTATTGAAAGAATCTCTTTGTGCTCTACTCTTCTTGACTTTCTGGTCAAATCTGAGCTAAACATTCATTTGGTGCTGGATGAAAAGAAGACTTAAGGGCAAAACAAAAACAGAAATGTTAAATTCACTTCCAGCTGGAGCTCCTTCCAGATGAGACAGGCAGGTTGTTCTGATATAAATAGTCCAGAGATCAGCTGGCGGTGTGTGAATGTCTGCAGGAGGCTGAATGATTATAAATGACTGATGTCGTATTTTAGAGACACTGATGCATCTCGGACTGAACCTCCCAGAGCCACAACTAGAGGAACGGGAGGAGATGCTGATTGGCTGTTCAGGGAGCTATGGCTACTGTTGCTATGTGAGCAGGCAGCAGCAGCAGCAGCCTTTAAGAACACGACGGTAAGCAGCCTACAGAGACGCTACATCTACATGTCCTGCCGCTGCAGTCACTAGAGGCTGAGAGAATACTGCAGATGCTGTAAGAGTACCAGCTGAGTTAGAGAAGAGGCTCTGCAGCAGAGAGAGTTAAGTTTGGTGTTGTCAACGTGTGAAAACCAGAGGAGCTTTACTGCTGTGAAGCAGTTTATAAGACTCAGAGTTAGTTTGGAAAGCTCTAGAGGCAGATGTTTTTTTTAGTGGGGAGAAGAAGTTTTTATAACAACCAAAGCACTGCTTTTATATGTTAAACACTACGACTGGAGCACCTACTGTGGAGGAGATTTAAGATCGGACTGAGAACGGTCTCACTTGGTCGTATTAATCTAAATCAGCGAAACAGTTTAGTATAAGCAACAACTACTTTAGTACTGAAGTAATCTGACAGTCAATCAGCATAAGCAGTGTCACACAGAACATCATTATCGACATACTGGGTAAAAAAACAACCTTCATATCTTTCTTGACAGAAACCGCAGACACCCTTAAGTAACATTTCATATTTAAATAATACGAAATGATGAGAAATCAACATCCAGAATTAAAGTGGCATGGAGACAGTGAGTGGAAAAACAAACAAAGTTGTCTTAAATCAAACACAGCCGTAGTCGTAATGTGTTATTAAAGATTCTTTCATGACTTTATAATACAATACTTTTAACAGCATTGATCTGAACTAAAAGAAAGAAAAATAAATCAAGTTGTTGATGTAATAAAGTTCCTATCATCTGACCTCACCCATCAGATATGATATGTCTGACTCTACATACACATATCATATCTTTATAAACAGGACTCATGGTGGGTTGATGTGTGTGGCTTCTGTCCAGAGAGATACAGTCGTTGTTATTGAACACGTCTGCACTGAATGTAAAGACTCTCTGTGACGTGCTGAGGGCTGTGTACTGTACTTACCCCGTTCCACTCCACGCTCATACTCACTTCCTCGCCACCGTCCGGCCCGCTCTCGTATTTCACTGTGTCAGAGGTCAAGCTCTCGCGGCTCCGCTGCTTCTCACGGGCCTCGGGCTCGCTCAGGACCTCTGCCACACGCTGCTTATGAACAGTGTCCAGACCCTGACACACACACACACACACACACACACACACACACAAACACACACACACACACAAACACACACACACACACACACACACAAAAACACACACAAAGAAGAAATCAATTCAGCTAATCCAATTAAATCAACAGCGAGGAACCTGTGCCACCTGCAGATTAAAACACACTGTCACACACATGGAAACTGTTCAGCTGACAGGAACAAGTGCCAATTCATCCAATCCAATTTACATCAAAGCTGTGAACCTCTACCACCTGCCACAAAGACAGCAGACACATGCATAAAACATGAGGATAAAACAGTCGAAACAAATTCAAAAAAGTCAATTTTAAAGGCCAAATAGGGAAAGAAATGAATAATTGAAGGCACAGCAGTCAAAAACATGTTGTCTCCTTAATATAAACCAGGAAATGGACACTATCACCACAGCACACTCACTCGCTGTGAATTGTTCTGAATATGTGAGGCTGGATGGCCATGCGGTTATGACGTGCACCCCATGTTCGGAGTTGGAGTTCTTATTACAGCGGCCGTGGGTTTGAATCTGACCTTTGCCCTTTGCTTCCTGTCATCCCCCACTCTGTCCTCCCAACACTTCCTGCCTCTCTTCAGCTGTTCTGTCTAATAAAAAGGCCCCAAGCATAGTAATAATAATTCTCCTGGAATATTACCTGCTATGTTCAAACATTGGCTCAACACAACTTCAAACGGAAAATGTTTTGTTTTTTTAGCTTTTTACATGCAGCTCACCTTTAGAAGTTTCTGGGAATATTCAGGAGTTTTTTGCATGTGTAAAAATCTACTTTTTAAAAGCTTAATATTCCATTCATGCATGCTTCAAGACACATTTATAAACTCGGCTGTGAATAATGAAGGGCTTACACCTCAGGAACAAGTTGGCACAAAGAAGCAGTCTCTGGTCTATTTAAAGCTGGACTGACGATGCTCTAACAGCACAGTGCAGATTGATGCAAACACTGTGTTGTCTGACTGTGTCTGAGGAATTAATTATTCACGAGTGGAAAAACACAGACTGACAGGCTCACAAAGGGTAAATGAAGATGATGCTCGTATTGTGAGATAATTAAATACTTCCTCCATTACATAATACAGAGACACTGATTGAATCTAAAGGAGACCTCTGGGCATGGATCGTCTTAATCTACCTCATCAGAGCTTTTCTTGAGGTTAAGTGCACAATTAAAGAAAGAAAAGAACGAAAAGCTACAGAAATTTCAAAACAACCATTTGAGAATTTGACAGAAAGATGACAACAAATAACACCTTAAATGGAAAGGCTCCAGCAGGACAAACATACAGAAGGTCCTGAGTTTCCGTTCTTAGCAGTATCAAACAGAAGGGAAAGGAAAGTGATTCCTCATGATTCATGATACATTTTCTTTGTGGAAAAAGTAGGCTAGTTTTCTTATTGCACAACAACTGATTTCTGGATTTATAGATAATATTTGTACAAATCTCAGCCTCAGCCTGTGTGGCTCTAATGGATTATTATAACACAGGAAATGCCACCTCACAAACAGTCTTGTGTCTCAGTTGGAAAGCACTTGATGGTAAAGTGTCAGATTCATAACAGTCCATGAATTTCATCCCATGCTGTGTAGAAAGATGTGTCTACATACTACATGTTCATGTTTGTATAACACAACATTTTTTTTTTTGATTTGATGTTTGTTTTTTGGGTCAAGCTTTTTTCTATTCCATCATGACTCCATCTTGGAAGTTTTCGAGTTGATGCATGAGTTTGATATTGTTTTGCACGTCATGAAAATTTTCCCATCCCACTTATATGATTTGATTAATTGAAGAAGCCTCGTGGTGGGTGTGTATTATTTGTAAGCAAACTAAATTAGTATCAGTTTCTACAGTTGTGACGTACACTGGTATAACAGGATCAGGTTTAAATAGCCTGATGTTGCTCCCCAACAGAGAGATGCTTGGCACTAAGTTTTGAAGAGAATCCTAATTTAGGATAAAGGCTGCAGGGGTTCTCCACTGCCTCTTATCTCCACGGGAAACCCCATTAAATCTCATCAGTAACACATCACCAGAGGCACTTTGAAAGCTGCATCCTTCCCCGCATCTTAATTATACATCATCGTCTCCCTAATTTTCTGCTACATTGAAACTATTCTGCCTTTTAATCTGCCAGGAAATGCTGCGCAGAGCCATTTGATCTGAGAGTTGGTAACTAGATACGGTCATTTAGAGCTATTTCTGCAGTTTTAACACAACAGGGATGACTTAGCCCCGGAAAGGTATCCTGTGTTATCAGTCGCATGATCATCAAGAGACCACACCTGCTTTCTGGAACGCAGGGCAGCTTCCTCCAGAGTCTCTGCCGCCTCAAACTTCCCCTGCCGCCTGTAGAGGGCGCCCAGGTTCTTCAGGGTGGTGGTCACTGTAGGGCTGCAGAAAAAAACGAGGAGGAATAGCTTGTCACCGGGAATCATTTAATGAGTGCAACTGAACATAGACTAAATCAACACCCACTCATTCCCCCACAACCACCTTAAACCTGCTCATCCTGTACCCTCCTCCCACAATGTGATACACACCAATCTGCAGAGTATGAACAATTATTCAGAAAGCAACAAGCGTGCTTTCTATTTTTCTCCCCTCGTCCTGCCTTTTTTTCCTCTTCCTGTATGTGTGAGCATTTCATTTTCTAACATCTCTCTCTCTCTCTCTCTCTCTCTCTCTCTCTCTCAATCACCTGCAGAGCCACAGCATCGATCAGACGCTATGCTGAGAAATACAGAGCAAGGGAAGATAGTCTGTTTGGGCTCTTCTGGGGTAGAAGACAGATTGGATTTTTTGGAAACCTAAGGTGTGTGGACATTTCATTTCAGCTTTACTGCTTAAGAACCTATTTTTTTCCAGCTGCTGGAAGCACTGCTCATCTGCACTGCTCATCTGCACTTAGACACTTAATTCAAGACTCAAACGTACCTGTCGACTTTACAGGCCTTGTACCAGCCTCCATATTCTCCAAAAGGTGAGCCGTCCTTCTGCTTCCCCTACAAAAAAGAAAAGAAAAGAAAAGCTAAGAGTTCACACCAAAACCACTTCAGAGGGTCTACATGGACTTGAAATGTGAAGTGACTCTTGAAGTGAAAATGAACCCATAACAAACCGAAGAGGATGTTTTAATACCTTCAAAGACAACATTAAGGGCTCTTCAGTCGTGAGATTACAGTCTGGTTAGTCCCTGGACAACAAAACCCTTTGAAGCGTGATGAAAAATGAACTCCTAGTTGGGATCCTCACTCAGATCAGCAGAAGGTAATTACTGAGACTTCATCATCTAATCCGACTCTTTGTAAAGGGAGTCCTTCTTATTCCCTCGTAAATACCATCATAAAACTGTCTGAGTACTTTAATGCTGCTGCCAGTGTTACTCAGTGTGTTGTTATCTGAATGTGCGGCCAAGCCCTGACTTTGATTTAGCCAACGAAAAGGGAACGATTCTGACTGATTCTGTGAACAACTATATCAAAAAAATGTGGGTATGCATTACTTAAAAGAATGTATACATGATAGCACACAGGTTAAGGCTCGACCTTTATCCTCAGATTCGGCTCACCTTGCTTTGTTCCTCTCTCTCCTCAGCGTGCATCCATATCGGCTTGTTCTCATCTGCAGAGAAACACAGTAAGACGCATGAGAAGAAGTAAATCAAGAGTAACAGACAAAGATACTCAGCTCTGGATCTGAAGGAATAAGGCTTTTATTTTTCAGCTGAAAGGTCATTTTTGTTTACAGCTACAGCAGCCTGGAAATATTAACCTTTACAGCAGAGGAGGAGCACAGCAGGGTCTGTAGAAGGACGACTAATGTGTTTATATTTGTTCTAACTCAAAGTCACTCTGCATGAGTGGATTACGGCTGAAATGTGTGTCTGTGTTTTTCTTTTTTTATTATCAAAGTCACAGTAGGTACCATCAACAGAGCCAAACTCCCTCTCATGGGCGCGGGTGAGGATTTCTTTGTACAGAGTTTCAGCCTGCTTGAACTTGCCCTGTTTGAGGTAACAGGAAGCCTGAAAAACAAAACAAAGACAACCAAAGGTAAGGAGTCAGCACAAATGATGACATTACACTCTCAGGGAATCCACACAGCAACTTCACAAAAAGCTTTTTATCGACCTTTTTACCACAACAGTTTAAATGCACCTTCTTCTCTGAGGCTAACTCCACCCACTGCGTAATTTTGGAAACAGTTATAGAGTGAGATGAGGAGATGGGTAAGGTTAGGGAATTGATGTATGAGGCAGGAGTCTTTTCTGCAACATTGTTTAAAATACCTTACACTTTAAATGTCACCACCTAAACCTCAATTGGTCTCAACTGGTCGACTTGCAGGATTCAGAGCAGACTTGAAAACACAAAATTGCCAATTAAGCAAATTTCCACCCCTAAAATGTTTTATGAATTTCAGTTAAAACAATATCATTAATGTGTTTCTTTGTAGAACTTCAGTTTATTTTACAGCTCAAATAAATAAGATTTTTAACTAAGCCTTTATTAGAGAGACAGGACAGTGGATAGAGTTGGAAATCGAGGACAGAGAGAGTGGGGAATGACTTGCAGCAAAGGAGCCAAAGGTCGGATCTCAAAGCTCGGCTGCCCACTCTGAGGATTGTAGCCTCTGTACATGGGGCACATTTACCACTAGGCCACTGGCGCAATCTAAAATAACTTGATCGTGATCTATGAAAATAAATACCCTTTAAAAAAAATGCATCTAAAAACAACTTGTAAGAAATCTATTTAAAGATGAATCTTAAAGTTAGCTTCTCAGACAAATACAAAATTGTTATAACCAATCATACGATGACAATTTAAATTCAAAGATGTGGTTACAATTACTGAGCTAAATCTGCACTTTTTGTTTTGAGCTCAGCGTCTTGAGGCTGAGCTTTGGTGGGAACAAAGAGCCAGAGACAATTAAAAACAACAAAAAGCAGCTGTAGCCAATTGGCCGTGATGCATATTTTATATAACGCTGCTCTGCTGGAGTACATTAAACTGCTCCATAAAAAGTGCAGGCAGATCTTAAACCATGTGTTCATTGCTAATTTTCTTTGAATCAGTTGCAGGAACCTGTTGTGCTTTTACTGACTGAGTGAAGAGCAAGGACAACTCGTTCTGGCCCGGGTGGTAGTCTAGTTAAGAGCGAGGGTCTGGACTGTGACGCCCCCTGAGAAATAAAACTAAATTGTGATTTCGGTTGATACAAATAAAATATGAAATCTCAGCTGACACAAGCAGCTTTCCTTCATCCATCAGAAACTGCTCCCACCACGCCTTCTTCCCTCTCACCAGGTTGTTCTTGGTTTTGGCCACGTTGGGGTCGTCCGGGCCCAGTTTGGTCTGGTAGATCTCCAGCGCTCTCATGTAGTAGTACTCCACCTCATCGTACTTGCCCTGGTTCTGACACAGCAGGGCCAGGTTGTTCAGCTGCTTGGCCACGTCTGGGTGGTCCTTCCCCAGCACCTGGGACGGAAACAATTGGAGAGGGAGGTAACAAAAACAGTCATTACGTCAAACCAAAAATGACTTTTAGACGACAAGCTGCATTTCTTGGATGTGCCATTTGGTCAACAGCTTTTACAGAGTGAGAAAATACCACCAGCATAGAACCAGGAAGTGGGGAAGCTCATGTTGTAACTGGCATCTTGTCTTTTTGGATTGTCAAAATGTTGTACCTGAAACTGCTTAAGTTGTTTGCTTGTTCATTCCTAATTTACTTTATTGTCTGAATTGTGTTCAGCATCAACATTTCAGTTCAGTTTAACCTACATAAGTGTATCCTCAAAGATTTGACCCGTGCCAGACTGGTGGACTTTTGACCTGCTTGATTAAATAAAAGCTGATTACATGGAACAAACAGCAGTTGAGAAACAAACAACATTTATCACAGAAACTGCATTCTCCTGTCTGCATAGAGCTGAACATGAAAATAGAAGCAAAACCACCATGACAAAATAATATTTTAGGTGGAAGTGTTTGTAATTAGCACAGTAAGCTTTTCCTGTGTGCTGAGGTGGCTTAACGCAATCAGAGGTGAGTATAGCAAGCGTGAAAGAGATGCAGAAGGATCGTTAGCGACTAGGTGTAGAGAGGGTTTTATGGGAGTCTGACAGCAAAGAGGACGATCAGAGAGGCATAGAGAGCTTGAAAACTGCAGAACAGAGAGGAAATGATGAGGAGATAGGCTGGAGTTGGAAAAAAAAGTAAAGGAAGGAAAAGGAGAATGATGAGGAGAGAATGCAAAAGAGAATAAGTCAGCAAAAGTGTACTCTCTGCAGGCTGCAGCTCTGAGAAACCACCTTTATGAAAACATTGGAGAGAGGCGGATATGAACAGTAGGAGGAGAGAGAAAAAATTGAGAAAGAACAGTTGGCGAAAAATTAAAGAGGAAAAAGGTAAACCAAGAGTCTTGTTGTTTATGCTTTTGGGGATTTTTGGTTTCACATTACTGCAATATATAAATCTGCAGGAGGTCTGAGGTTGAACCCCCTCCTGAGCATGGCAGGATGGTCTCCCGCCCTGTGGGGGACTGTCAGCCTCTCGGTGTGTGTGATCAACAGGATGGTGCAGAGCTAGCCGAGCGATGCCACCTGCAGCATTCACTCAGCCCCGGCCTCCCAAGCCTCCACAGTGTAACAAATATGACAGCTTTCCTGTAAACATCGTTAGCTGGAAAAGGATTGCCATAAGCCGAGCACAGGGCAAGATCGGGGTCACTGAGGAACTGATTGTGTTTATTGATAGAAGCCTTCAAATACCAAAAGTGCTGCATTATGTGGTGGTTTTCCAGGAAGCTCTTAGAAACAATGCTTAATCTGAAATTAAGCCCGAAAGCCTCTACTTACAGGGCACTCACTGAACCCACGTTTTGGCAAAATAATTACTGAGTTTGGTGTTTTTAGACAAATTCAGGTATTTTCTTCTCTGCATTTTCCCCGAATGGAGATGAACATAATTGAAGTCTGATTCTGATTGTGATGATAGTTGACTAGCCTGAGCTTGACTCGTTTTTGTGAGTTAGTGTAGGCTTCAAGAAGAGAAAACGAGTGTGTGCACACCCAGGCAAGATGTATGCAGGAGCAGGACAAGAAATGTAGCAACGGCATTAAAGGTCTGCACATTATTCAGCTACCAATGGGCAATTTTATTTTAACGGGACAACGTTTCGATCCACAAGATCTTCATCAGGCTAATTTAGTTTTAGGTTACGTAAGCTGGCAGCCCCCTGTAGTTTAACGATGACATTATAGTCTGTACACAGTAGACAATTGAACACTTCAACGCAGTTAAAGTTAATTGTTCCTCTGTCTTTAAATGATACTCTTGCCCTTGGACATTCTTTACTATCATCTATTTTGTTGTGTTGTTGTAAAAGAAAAAACGAATTCAACTTTTGTCATAAAATGATTCAATGAAAAGAGAAATGAGTCACTAGAATCATTCCTTTTGTGAACTAACCCTCACCTCAGCATGTGTGAGGCACTCAGCTCCAAGGCCTCTGATTTCTACTGAAGACATAAATCTTTAAAGAGGGTCGATCATTTCATCTTTTAAAAGTCGCTGCCTTACACAGCTGAACACTTAGTAAATAGCTAATTTGTCTGGGGCTAGTCGCAGTGTTGGATTAAAACAAATTTGTTGCTCCAGTAATTATTTGGGGCAGCAGGACATTGTGTGTGTGTATATGTGTAGTTGAGTCGAAATAAACTACATCGATGTGTTCATGGAGATTTATGGCAGACTAATGAGATGTATCAGTCTCAGAATACACACAGCATCGAGCATAGCATAGAGTACAGCACAGTGAATGTTTAGCATCTCGGAGGAGCAGCGCAGTTTGGCAGGATTTCTAGAAATTGAGATACAAAAATGAACGTAGGCAGTCAGGTTAAACTGGCATATCGACCCCGAGCAACGTTTAACCCCGTTCAGCAGCACAGGCATGTGGATGTTACAGTAAGCTGCAGGGAAGACCAAAAACTGGCAGCGATAGCACGGCTAACTTTGACAACACTGGGCAAACCAAATGGCTGCAAGATTTTTAACAGGTACACGTAAACAGGAGCATATGACCCCTGTACTCGCCGCCCTCCACTGGCTTCCTGTCGATTTTAGAATCCATTTTAAAAAGCCACTACTCGATTTTAAGTCACTGCATGGTCTAGCCCCCTCGTATTTATCAGAACTTTTAAACCCTTACACCCCAACACAATCACTCAGGTCCTCTGAGCAGTCTCTCCTTGTCGTCTCTGCAGGAAAACATCTCTGCAGCAGCCACCTTGCACCACCCCTCCTCCCCTTCCTGTTCAGGGGTAAATCTCTCAGCTGAAGTGATGGCAGTTTAAGTAGCACCAGAAAAATGACATCTCTCAGCTTAACCAAAGCTGACGTTTCATTCTCTGAGCAGTGTGAAGGAAAGAGAGGGAATGTTTGTCCTAAGCCAACAGCTGAGGACAGACAGTGAAGAGGGAATAAATGTTCTTCCTGACAATACAAATGCTGTTCCATGTTCCACACTTTTAAATGGCGTCTCTTATTATTTTACCTTTTGTCATGATGCTTTTGAATTTTTGTTCGTGTGAATCTGTGCTTGGAGATGTTGCACGAAGCAATACTTGGTTTGGTGGTGGGTGTTTTTATTGTAAGATAATTCAATAAATCGGTGTGTTTATCTGCTCCAATGGAAACAGCAATCTAGCTTGTTTCCATACTGTGCATTATTTCCAAAAGTAAGGGACGTTAAAGGAATCAGCTGCATTTATTTTGGTGATAAGATAAGTCAGGCTTTCCCAACCGTGCATGGAATTCAAATGGGCATGTCTGAAACTTTGTATTTAATGATCAATTAAAAATATATTGTATATTAAAATATATTGACCACAGACTACTGTGGGCTATAGTCAATGACAAAACAAGAAACGTGCATAGACTCTGTCTGTCTGTCATCCATTGTGCAGAAATGCCGTCCCAGCCTCTCTTCCTCTGTCAACAATAATAAACATGAAAAAGCCTAAATGTGGTGTAAGATGAATGTTTACTTGCAACACAGTCGAAAAACTATTACATGACAGAAAACAAATTAATTTGAGCAAAAAGCTGGATGCGTTTTGAATGTCTTTTATTAAGAGCAGCTTCCAAACCTGTAACTGTCACCTGTCATTTTAGAATAGTGATCCACTGAGAGTGAATCTTTCACTGTCATTGTTGTTAAATGAACAAGCTGTACTAAAACGGAAAGCTTGACAGGGCTTGGCGACAGGAAGTGTGTCCTTGATTCGGCTGCCTCTAAACCAATGACTCATGGGGAACATCTTCTGAGTGAAATCCCCAGTGTTCAGTGATTGACTGCTTTGTTTCAAAGTAGGACAAAGTTTGTCTGAAAGTGGAAGTAAAGTTTTGTTTTAAAGTACAAGTTTTAAGTCAAATGAATAAAAAAAAAGACCAGATGTGAACTCTGGGGGGGGGGTTAAATAGCTGCTCCGTCATGCTCTCCTTTTATTTGTATAACTTCTGCTGACTCTGTTTAGTCATGGTGTTTGACGACGTTTGACCTACCTTTTCTCTGATCTCCAGTGCTCTCTTGCACAGAGGCTCTGCTTCTTTGTACTTTCCTCTCTTGCCATACAGGACAGCCAGGTTATTGAGGGTGGCAGCGACCTGAAAGGAACAAAAACAAATTAGTCATTTCAAAATACTTTTTAAACCCTTCGTCACCAACGTCTGTAACGTTTGTGCAACCGCAGGACTCCACCACAGCAGCGCAGTGCTTAATCTGGGGGTAATTAATGAGGAGAGGAGGATGTGCAGATCTGAGAGTGATTGTGCTGGGCTGTCATTTGATCCTGATAAGCCGTAGGATGAATCTCCATAGTGCACTCAGGAGGAGGGAAACCAGAGGCGCGTGGAGGTCACCTCTGATCTCTGGTTCAGAAAGGATCTGGTGACCATGTGGGCAGAGTGGGAGGACAGGAAGGAGGGCGAAGAGAGGAGGGAGGTGTCTGAATGAGGGGAAGGTAATTTAGAAAGACCAGAGGAGATGGAGGTCAGGGCAAAAGGAGGAGGCTGTTGCATTTACAACCTTAATTGTCTTACTTTTCCAAAAGTGTTTTCCATGAAATTATCTGCTAAGCATGATTTATGTGGATCCTAATTTTACTGTAAAGATTTTAAAAAATCACCATAGCTTCAAATATGACTATATCCGAGAAGCTGTTGAACACTTTTACGTGTCTAAGAAACTTCAACAGATGCTACAAAAGTCAATGATCAATCTTCCGCCTGGTCTGGTAACAGAAACACTCATGAACTACTTCAGTGACTGTTCAATCTGAAGTGGGGTTGCATGTGGTACTAGTCAATAGAAGTGTATTAGTCACAGGAGATGCCAGGTCAGAGTAACAGAACAGAGGCTAGGCTATACTTTGCTTATCTGGGGTGGGATTTGCAACATAATTAAGATAATTTTCAGGAGAACCAACCTGAAAAACAGGGTCAGGGTATATCAATGTCCATGGTTTGTATTCTCCTCGTTGTCTAATAAAATATCAAAACCAATGTGAGAGTTTCAGTGTTACAAGCGCACTATGTAAACAAAAGTTTAAAGGGACACATTTTGTCAGAATTATGCCTTTACATTGATGATGTAGAGAGCTGCTCTGTCACTCATTCATCAAGATGGACAACTGAAATAATCTGAGATTTAATGCGTGTATTTTTGCCAAATATGCTGTCATGTACAGCTGGAGACCCAAGGAAGGAGATACTATAACAATGATTCTGGTACTCCAAATGTCCTCAAAAGTCCAAAAACACAACATCCTTCTGGTTCAGATGAAACAGGCTCTTCTTTCCCGTCACCCTCCTCCAGGTCTCCATGTCAAAAGCCCCAAAGCAGACCCCACATGGATTGTTCAGAACTTGATATCTAAATTGATGTGCGGGCAGAAACCGCAATCATAGGCTTCTAGTCTGTGACCCTCTTCTACTCTGAGGAGAGCTTCAGCACAACAGCACCCAGATGGGGGTCTTTAACTATTTCAGTTCAGGCCTTGGGAAACCTACCCTGCATGGTAACTATACAGGTTTTCTGTTTTTCACAGGATAAACTAGTTTAACACTAGCATCACCCAACGAGTGAAGATACAGTTTCCATGCCAAGTCCTATTCCTCAGCTGTCACTCAACGATCAAAGCTCCAGACCACCCAATCAGCCACTATGTAAACACAATGAAAATGTGATGTAGGGCTGCGCAAATAATCCCAAATCCCTGTTTTTTCCCAATAAATATGAAAATGAACTATATGTAAACAATGGCCATCCTTCACACCACGCAAATGAAGCTTAAGCTAGTTATTAGCTACCCTCAAATTCATAAGTACCAATTTTATAGGTGGAGAAAAGAGCTTTTCTGGTTTATTTGGGATTCAGTACTGACAGGTATTGTGTAATGATTGAAAAACATGAACATTTCAAGTGTTTGTATAAGGTAATATGCACTCTTTAACTTCTTCATATCATTATCACAACACTGAGAAATATGCATTGTGCCAAAACGTTGTTCATACTGTGTAGATGATATGTGTGATGATACATGCATATTCAAAGGTGCTTGATCAAACCTGAGGTCTAGATCATGTTTTTGTCATGAATATCAGTCGCATCTAAAATTAGAGCCTTGATTTAAAAACCCTCTTTCACGACAGACCAACGGGAAAGTAATTTTAAGTGATTAAAAGTTTAAGAGACCAAGAGCAAGTGACCAAGTGAAAAGAAAAATTGTGATGAGACAACATAAAAAGAGAAATCAGTGTCAGATAATTTTCTGTATTGTTGCCAAAATGTCTCGTAAGAAATCACCTAAAGGAATCACTTCCAAAGGATCAGGACCTTGTGGCAGGATTAGAGAATGAGGTGGGAGGTGGGAGGGGAGAAATGGGGAGAGGGCTAACCTCAGTTTGACAAAGTGGTGAGTGACGGAGGTCCAGACAGTGGAGACACAGGCCTGCTGGAGTTAACACAGTTAGTGGATGTGCTGTTTGTTTACAGTCACACTGATGAACAGAGGTTAATGGGTTAGAGAACAGCCCCGGTTCAATTATTAATGAAACCTTTGTGTTTACTGGGATACGAGTTTGTTGTTGTTGCTGTTAGGTGGTTAAACTACATGCTAAAAAGGTGAAATCATAATTTTAGGCAGGTTATTTAATACAGCAGCAGACGTACGATACATCGAGTGGTGATTAAAATGAATCCAAATACCCGGCACAACCCAATGGGATAACATGATACAAAGTACATTACATCTAAAAGCAGCACTCTGACACGCTCTGGTAAATTCACGCTCTTTGTATCATGATGAGTGATAAGTAAAAACTGTAATTCAAAAACTACTTTGGCTGCCCTGTAATAATGGCTGTCTGCTTTGTTTGATGTGTTACCTGAAGGAGAGCAGAGTCGAGAAGTTTTAATGTACTTTATTGATCACCGAGAGGGAATTGGGACACTGCAGCAGCCACAAATAAATGCAGATCAAAGGGGGGCAGAGGGGATATTACAAAGAGAGTGAACTGACATGATGGTGGACGGCTCAGTCTAGCCAAAAGCAGCCTCTTAGAAAGGTTTTGTTTCCATTAGCTGTACTTACTCATGATAAAGGGACACTGGACATTTTTGGAAACATTTTATTAACTTTCTTGCTGAGGTTGAGATGAGAAGATTAATAACCCTGTACTTAAATGTGAAGCTTCTTCCATGAGCTTGTTATGAATGACAATTAACAAAACAGCTGACCAGCTACTACACATAAAAAAAAAACAATAAAACATTTGGATTTTGGACGTTATTTATAAATGTTTTGGATTAAGCATTAGCTATTTAGTGTAAACTGGTGTTCTTTAGTGGATTTCATCATCTTCAAATAAAGCAAAGCAAGCTTTTAAGAGTATTTTATGCTAAGCTATGCTAACCAATCAATTGCTGTTAAGTGCAGACATGAAAGTGCCAACAACCTTCTTATGCAACTCTCAGAAAAAAAGTGAATATGTATCGTCCCCATAATGTGAAATAATCTCTAAAATGCTGTCACACATACGGACCAAGCTGCTTAAACCTGTCTTGTGTTTTTTTTGTGTTGGGGTTTTCAGCAATCGACAGCAAGGACTATCCACCCTTGGAAGCTATAACGTTGAACCCATACACGGGATAACACATCCCTCTGATCATAGTAGAGTCAGAAAAATAATACCATCCAACATTTCATAGCCAGAAAACTGAGCAGGACAAAATGACTTTGATGTAATTCAGAGGAGGAAGTACTCACAGCTGGATGGTCCCTGCCTAGAGTCTTCTCCCTGATAGCCAGAGCATCATTCAGCAGGTTGGCTGCCTCCTTATATTTGTTCTGGTCCCTGACAGACAGGAGCAAACAGAGTCAGACACAATGACGCTAACACAGATGGACGGACAGAGCACACAAAGAAGATACAGAATGATAAACTATGCTAACAATTTCCACTTACAGTCCATTATTTTCAGGTGACATGGTTTAAAATACCTTTGCAGAAGTTCCCACAGTCCACATAACAGCCCACTGACGACAAGTAAACCCAGTCTTTCATTCCTCCAGGGTAACCAAACCAAAAACGTGACTTTTCAATGGACACGATTTATGGAAGTAAAAAAACATGTGTAAAATTCTTCTCCAGCTCTTGTGTGTTGATCTTTTGTTTTTTTGACCTGGGAAATTAACGCTTCCCCACTTCTGTTACAGTACTGTAAATCTTTGGCTGTGTCTGCTATGTTTGCCATGTTCTACTCCGAGCATTGAAAGGCATCCAACTATTATTTGGAGGGTCCTATAGAGGCCTGTCACACAGTGCTTTCAGAGCTGTTACCAAGGGTTTCAAGGAAAAGCCACCATGTTGTAATGGTGACAAACGAGAATACATGCAATGTTTCTCTTCAGATTTTGTTAGCTCTGAAAGTATTTGAATCATGCTATTGAAGCAACAAGGTTAAAGGCATTCCTTTTATTGATAACTAGCAAACAGAGTCCCAGCATTCAGTTACAGGTTTCTCTCTCATATACTCCCCTCTGAGATTGTGGGAAGGCTTGTTAAATAATCAGAGTTGCCCGGAGACTTTAGGGATTTACGAGCTATTGAGGACTTTCATTTGCTAGAACAAAAGTGTTTTCAGCAAACTGAATATTAGTTCTCACTCTGTCTGCAGTTGTAAACTTTTAATGTCAACGTCACAGTAACTAGACATAGAGAAAATTCTCTTCTCAAGCCACTTAGAATCCAGACCGCATGAAAAATCACAGACTGGCTTATTCTGTTTCCAAAGAATTTAATTTCCTGTGGTCAATAAGACTTTCAACTTCTACTAAAGTCCTTTGTTAGTTTGAAACAACACCCCTGACACTGCCTCCTGGACTAAAGGATGGCCAGGAACATATTCTAGGAACCATATTTACAGAAAAGACTCACCTGTAAACAAGAGCTAGGATATTGAGCATCGTGGCCACATCAGGGTGGTCATGTCCAGAGGTTTTCTCCAGGTCTTCCAAGGCCTGCTTGCAGAGGGGCACAGCCACCTCGTATCTGCCCTGAGAGGCGTACTGGATCACCAGGTTGTGGAGGGTCCTCAGACGGGCTGGGATTTCGTAGCCTCCCTGCTGGGCGGCCGCTGCTGCAGCACTGCCGTGAGTCGGCTGAACTAAAGGACACACAGGGGGAAATGGAGGGAAAGATTTAACATCAGGACACGAGTTGATTTTTAAACCAACGGCTCTTTATTCAAAATTTCTTAACAAATTTCTATTTATTTTCTACTTTTCTATCTGTAATGTTTTTGTAATGTTTACAGACTGAGCTAATGCAGCCCCCAAACTGTGATGAATACTGCTTTTCTGTTGCTACATTTAAAGTAATCTCTGAAGCCATTAATTATCCAAGTTCCCACAAATGAGCACAACAAACAAACACCATCTGGCTGCTAACATATGCCCTGCAAACAAGGTTATTTACACATAAACAATGTCCTCATTATGTTATGATGAACAGTAAATGTGGTAGCTACTGTGTACAGGGTCAGGAGGACTACTGTGATGTCTGTTATGACATGCAGTTTGTGTGTGTGTCTGACTGTGTGTAATAATGTGTGAAAGTGAGAGTGAGAGGTCAGGAAACCACCTGATGGGGTTTCTTATTAAAGGCAGTCAGCTCTATAGTTACTCTGAAAAAGAGTCGCCTCTTCTTAGGGCCGCCCATTGCAGTAATAGCACTGACCAGACGGACATTTTCAGACATTAAGTGATACCAGGTGTTCACAACCATTCACAACACGGCAGCCTGTCTTGACTTAGCTCATGGTAGAGAGAGGCGTTAAAAAGAAAAAACAAAAAAGGGCCTCAATTTCAGAACCGTCCTAAAGCATTTTAACAACACCTCAAAACGTCACGACTCAGCATTTACATCAATCGCCAGGTGCTGCTAATAACTAAATCAGTTTGGATTATCCACAGCAGCTAAGGAGGAAGTTATGAGCACTGCAGCTAAACAGTTATTCTGAGTAAACAAATTTGAAAATGAGTTATAAGATGTTAGTCACCTGGACATAAAAGCGGTCAAAAATGGTGGAAAATGACGACAGATAGATGTGATATGTTCTTGTCTTAATACTTTCCTACGTCAATCATCAGTCATGTCTGGAGCTTTGTGTTTGAAGGACAGGAGGATGCTAAATCCCCCTCCAGGGAGAAGCTTAAGTGGCAACTTTTTGAGACATGTACAACAATCCAGAAAACACAAACATCCAAACCAAAAATGGCAGGTGCTGAGTCGAGCAAAAAAGACGCTTAAAATAAAGAGAAAGACGGATCGCACACTACAGGGCACCAATAATCCAGAAATTGATTTATTTCCTGGTGAAATACATTTCCTGAATACTGGAGCCATGTGGTGTGCGAGCAGTCTAACCTTTTGAGATATGTCATCCTTGCTGTGTCAACAAGTCATACATGTACTTGCAACAACTACAAAGCTGATTTTTCAAGGGGGAAGCGGTAGAACAAAAGAATAGAAAGCTATATCAGACTCGGCTTTTCACCGATCTTTATTCCAATTTTAGTTCTTCCCGGAACATTTGGGGAGGTCAAACACTAAATCCCTTGGACCCCACTTTTAGAAATGTAACAGGAACATGACACTAAATCTTTACAAGATTTTTCTGGGATAAACAGAGTAAAGTAAATGACTATAAAGTAAATATTTGAGCCGAAAAATCACTGTGTAAGAGCCTTAGGCTAAATCTAAACAAAAGCAGAGCTGTCATCATCATTTTCAGCTTTTTTTCCAGCATTATCTTCTTCCAGCTGAGAGCAATATCCAAAAACCCCAAAAGCATTTCAGGCTGTGTGAATAAGCATAAGGGGAAAGATATCTTATCTACTTGTGCAGCACACTACACACAATCTCACACACACACACACACAATCTCACACACACACACACACACACACACACACACAGTATCATGCAGCTCCATTTCACACTGAGAGGATTAATGTCAGTGGAAGGAGCGTTCAATGACGCGTTACTTCCCTATGCACCGGCACATCCTGAATGCATCCTGATTTTCTCTTTCTGGGTACAGTTCCTCCTGCTCTGCTTTTCCATCCTTTGTCATCCATCTACTCATTCATTCAAACTCACACAGGGCTTAACAGCATTGCCTCCATTTCAGGTCTGTGTATTACTTCATGTTATTAACCAGCCGAGAGATTCAAGTATCCTTTCCCTCGCAGTTTTGAAATGTGTAAACAAAAAGCTGTTGCTTCTCACCCTCGCCAATACTTTCACCCTCTGTGTTTGTTATTATTTTTATACTTTGAGTTTTGTATTTACCTTCCTGACATGTAGCTACTTGTTAGTATTTACTGTAAACACTGACGAAGGTGTGAGTGGGAATGTGTGGGTGGGTGTGGGAGTGCAACAATGAGCACATAGAGGTGTTGATGAGTAAATGGGTGCGGGTGCATAATTACTGCATTACTCTGATTTATGATTATTAAAAGGTCTTAATCTCAAACCTCAACTACAATTACGGTACTAATAGTTCTTCAGGCTATCTGAGCCTCTGGCTTTTTGACTACTTAAGGTCCATTTCAACCTTGTGATGTAGTGATGCCAAAGCCAAATTTCATTTTGGGAGCGATAAAGAATATTTGATTAATTAATTATTTGTTCAAAGGAATATATAAAAAAAAAAAAAAAAAATTTGATTCAATCTAGAGGCTTATTTTTTCCAAAACATCTTGCCCCCTCTTTGGTATGAAATACTTAAATGGCTTTGTGAATGTATTTTCTTCTCTTGCACTTCTCTGCATGCAGCTCCCTGACTTATTTGATTTACAGCAATACGCTGATGTGATTATCTTAATAACACAGAAGGCAAACGTTTCATTTCTTCAATCATTATGCAGTATTGACGTCTACATGGCGGTCCCTTATATTGAGATTTATGCTGCATAAAGTTAATCTTATACTCTTTTCACCAACTCAATTCCTCTCTCACAGCTATATTCTATATTAAAGTCTCTCTCTCCTCTCAAGTCATAATTCAAACTTCGCTACAATGCTTGACACAGCAAAGGCTCGACTAACACTGCTAAGGAAAATGTTGAAGAATCGGCCTAATGTAGCAAATTTTCCGTCCGAAAAAATGAAGTCCTTTAATTGGAAACAGTATCCCAAAAACAACCTGTTCTGCTTCCTCAGCTTTTTAACCTGCACTGTAGTCATCATAATTCAAGCCAAAGCATAGAGAAGTCTCAATCAAAACACATGAAACACTATAAAAGTGAGGAAATACCACAGGCAGCTGTCTGGCTTGTGAAAAAAGAAGCTGGGTTCAGCCAAGATGCTGCCTTAGAAAGAGCATCAGAGACGTGTGTGCTTCAACTATGTCGCTGAAATTATAGTCACTTGATAATCTTTCTCCATAAATGAAAAAATGATGTGTAGAGAGCTGAAATAAATGTTAAGATTAAATCTTTACTGCTTGATTTCTGAAAAGAAGAACATTTGGACTTGTAGCCGGCAGGTTAAATTAAACAGAAACAAAGAACTGGAGTTCACTGAGCTGCAGTCTGGCTCAAACAATGATTCCAAGAGTGTAAACAAGTCTGCTGTACAGCAATTCAAACTGGCTGACGAACTGATGCCAAGAGCCAAACGGGAATCACCTTGGTGCAAAAAGGGGATTTAGATAACTCATTGCCAAGTCTAGGAACAAACAGCTTGCTTGTTTTTTGTGCAGACCAGAAGCTTGCAGGTCAGTTGTCCCTATCTGTCTCAAAGCTGCTGTAAATTTCCGTTAATTCAGCCAAATTAGCGAGGTACTTGTTCTGGTGGGGCAATCGAGTTGGCAATAGTTATAATCTCGGTCAAATGAGGCTTTTGTAATCGGCCGCACAAAGGCAAACAGGCTAATGCTACGCAGAATTGTGTGATTTAATTTTCTTTCCTGTGGTGTAATGCCAACAAATGTTTATCCTCATATTCAAAGATGAATCATTTCAAAGCAACATCACTGTGATCTTGCCAAACATTATTTCACCTGACTGCAGTCACACAAAGAGAACACGCTGTAGAAATCCTGGATCTATATTACAACAATCTGGTCTGGGGGGTTTTCTCCCCATTTGGCCTCCCTCCATGCTTAACTAGGTCCTGACTAATGGGCCTGCACAGCCAGCACAGTTAAACTGCCTGGACTATTGAAAGACGGCCCCATCAAACACTGAGTGATGGGCAGGACATGAAGAGTGGGAGAACAGAAGAAACAGGGGTGTGTGTGTGTGTGTGTGTGTGTGTGTGTGTGTGAGCTTGGAAGAGAGAGACAGGCCAGGGCTTGTGTGAGAAGAGAGAGATGATAAAACAAAGCACGACAAACACCTCAGTCTGATCTATTCTGACTCATGGTACATCAACTGAAGTCACCAGTTTCACTGCTGTGGTATGAAAACTTTAAATATTCTTATCATGTAAAGTTGCTACCTACAGTAGTAAATTCTACTTTGTCCCAAGGCCTGGAACTCCATGTCATATTTAGGGTTCAGGACTGGAGATACTTGAGAAATCAACCAGAGTGGAGGGAAAAAGAGGAAGTTGGAAAACTTACTTCCTGGGGCTTGGTCATCCTGGTCATCTGGGAAGAGATCGTCCAGAGTTTCTTTACTTGAGTCGGAGTCCTTCTCCTCCTGAGAGGGGAGGGAAAGAGGATAAGATGGAAGGAAATGGAGAAAGATACAAGGCGGTGAATACAATTACTAAACGCTACTTTTATATCTGCAGATGTAGCGGTTCTGACGCCTTGTTCCAGTCAAGCACATTCAATCAAAAGTTATACCAGCGTGTGACAAAATGTGTCCCATTGCTGAGGTCATTATTGTACAGTGTTTGTCATGTTCTCCACTTCTCACTACATATTAAAACCTGTAGATTTCCCTTCAGCCCTGCCTGGTTATAGACATTTCTCCCAGTAGTGTCAGCTAATTATTGGTGTAACCACATGTATACTTTCATAACCGACACAAACCCACTGCGGCAGATAGTACGGCTGTATTTGTCATAACTAGATGGAACGTGATGCATTTTTATCATGAATTTAAAGTATTTTGATTTATTCCCGCTGGTTGGATACCATCTTATTGATATTCCTTTTTATGGAAATGTTATGGAGTATGCTTCTGAGTCCCCTTGTGTCCTCTGAACCAATACCACTTTGTTCTTTCATTACCTATACTAGAGCTCAGGTTACAGTGGTACAATTCAAGTAATCTCCTACTCCTAATTGTTAAACCTGAGTACATCACCCATAAACTCACTTGAACCATTGTTATGTAAGCCAGCCAGAGGACGACTTTTGCTGTGGCTCCTAAAATAGAGTCAACAACTCGCTGTGACTAAGTGAATGAAATTGATAGCAAAAACAGAATTATACTGACAGTGAGAATGAAGCTGGCTCAGTCACTTCACGGCTGATATCTGATACCCTTAAAGCTCATAGAGATCTACTGTATCGGTAACCTGTTCCAGGAGTTTCTTTGATTTGGAGTCAGGCTTAAACCGTATGTCGTCTGGTAAAACAAATTAAACACAAGGGCACGATGAACAGGAGAACATGACCTGAGCACTCACTGATGGGGACAGGTCCTCGTCGTACTTCTTCAGCTGGTTCATGAACTCCAGGTGCTTCTTTTCCTCCTCCAGCTGGGCCACGCTTTGCTCGCTCTTCTGCAGTTTCTGCTGCGTCCCGGCCAGCTCGTCTCTCAGCCACTGGTTCTCCTGACAGAGCCGGCGTACCTGAGCCCGGAGCTTCTGCTTCTCGGACTCCACCGAGCTCAGGTGGCTGGACAGCGCCATCATCACCTGGGACAAAGAGGAACGTTGCTTCATAGTTGAAGAATAACAAAATCCAATGGGAAAAATGTTAAGTCTGTCTTTGAGGTGATCAAGTAGACCGTAAATTTCTTGTATAAATGGTCTTTACAACAAAAATAATAGGAAGTCTTCCAAAAAGAACAATTAATTTCTGGTTCTAGTTAAGATGGAAATCAATCTCTGCACACTTGAATGTGTGATGAGGGTGGCACTAATTAAGAGCATTCAATTTGTCATTATCCTAATACCAGGAAAATTCATACAAAAGGAGCTGTGCTTCAATAACACCCACAAATGACTCGTTTTTGGTCTCAAATAGTAACAGATTCAGTGGCATGTTGTGTAAAGTAGGGTGCTTAAAACTGCCAGGGATGAGAGTACATTCCCCACCATAACTAAATATGTGTACACTTGTGTAACAGTGAGGCACTATGGGTAAAAGCATCCACCTAATAGCAGAGGTTTTAAGGTGAAATGGTGAGAGGGGTGTAATTATACTAAGAGTTTCAAGACATAGAGACAAGAATTAGGTTGAAAAATATGAATTAACTGTACTTTACCCGGAATGCGAGCTACCCAAAAAAAGCTGAAGGTGGATATTAAGAGTCTGCAGGGTGCAGTGTATTAAACAAAGTCTGCAGATGAGATTCAAAAACTGACTCATCAGTGACTCATAGGTCATGTTTGCCAACTGAGAGATGACACAACAATATCTGGAATTCGCTGAAAAATTAGCATTTTTAAAATGTTTCACTTCTGCTCTCTTCTTTTCAGAGAGGATAAATGGTGGGCGACAAGAGAAAGAAAACGGTCAAATGATGGATCGCTTGAAAAATGAATTCTCTGCACTGGACTGGAATTTCTGCAAAAGCTTCTTATTATGAGTCTGTTATTATGAGCATTATTACAGAAACTGTTAGCTAAAAGCAAGACCGCACCAACTGCATTTTTTAAGTGTTTCAAAACGTCTGATGCTCCTCTATCTCGTGAAACAGTCGCTTGAAATTAGTAAAAAGAAATCTTAAAAATGCTTTTATCTCCACACTGTTTCGAAAGTGAAACAAATACTAGAGTACCAGTGGACAATCCTTACAAAAGAAAACGTTAAAAAAAAGTAACGTACCTGTGCCTCACTCAGCCCGAGCTCCAGCATCTCCATGGACTTGCGGATCATGTGGGACTTCTCCTCCACCAGCACGCCCTCCTCATCCTGCTTCAGGCATCTCAGCGTGCCCAGCAGGCCCTCCAGGATGGAGTGGTGCTCCTGTTTCAGGGCCTCCAGCCCCTGGATCACCTGCTTGGTTCTGGAGATGATCTCATCCTGGGACAGCTTCTCCCCAGGGTCCTCCTCCTCCTTCACGCACACCATGGTGGACATGTCCTCACGCATTCTGCAGATTGGATGACAGAAAGGAAGGTTAACTTCAAAAATGAAGTGTTAATCCAGTTTTAGGTTGCTCTACTTTTTAACCAACTTCTATAAAAACTCCTGTGAGGAGTTTTTAGCCTGTTAGACACAGCCTATGACCCACAAAAGAAAACATCAGCATTAAGATTGAATAATGCCGCTTACCATTTAGCTGGCTAGGTGGCATTTTCCAGGGCAAAGATTTGCGCATTAGACTTTTTAAATAAAGCAGATTTTTATTCCAAAAAACCCACACTACTAGTACATGTTCTGGAGACACCAGCTAAGAGATTAGAGGTACCATTTTGTTCACAGGGGTCACCAAAAGATTCTGAAATAATATTAATCACATTAATCAGACAAGGGCTGCCTCATAGAACAAACAAGATGCTCCTCCGAGGAAATCATAAGGGGAGATTATGTCCTTGAGCCTGATAAAAACAGACAAACTTAAAGCAGTTCAGCGTCATCAGAAGACCCCAAACTCATTGACATTTGTATATGCGTGTGTTGTGACTGAATGGTTGCCACAGTCCTTGATGGCACCTTTGGCAACTATGATTGTTACCATTAATGCCAACAAAGAATCTTGAACTTGAGGTTGAATAAGACTAGTTAACGTATGTCGCTATGAAAGGTTTGGAGACACACACAGCAGAAAGAGGGAAAGCCTCTTCAGGGAGTACGAGATAGGTGTTTAACTAAAAAAAAAAACAGTGCAACGTATTGATTATTGTACAAAGACATAATTAATGGGCAAACACAAACCCTTCTCTTTTCATTCAAATTGTATCCTCCTCTGGTTTAATGGCCATCTCAAAGCCCTTTACAGCCCTGTAAGGGATTCATCCCACTTTAAAATCAATACATGCCTCAGGATGAGAAACAACGTTGTCTTTAAGAAAAGGTTAGACCCATGTGTTAGTGAGCAGACTAGTTAGAGGTCTAAATGTCTCAGTCAAGAGATTTGATGAGACAAGTTCATGCCTCCCTTTTCAAATACACACAAGGTGGCTTTGGGTTAAGCGGTGACTGAACCACCTGGTTGAAAAAGCTCAGTGCTGAGTGAGAGCAGCAGAAAAGATAACAGAGGTTAAATCTATTGTGGTGGGTTTAAAATGCTGTTTGAAGTGCACTAAAAAGAACTCAGGAGTCGTCACTTAAGGTGCTTTAAGAAAAAGGAAAAAACTGGTGCTTTGGTGCGGCTGTGATGAAAAGCATGAACCACACCGCAGCAGACGTTAAAGCTGCAGGCTGCTGACAGCTTAAATCCAGATCCGAGGCCTGTGGGCTGCATGTGGTTTACAGATACAGACAGATATGAGGTGAGGATGGTGAGAAAGGAAAACTCTGAAAGAAAGTATAAGAAAACTTAAGGTTAAAAATTGTCTTCCTTTATGTCTTTCCAGGTAGATATTTAGTGCGATAACACCTGCAGTTATAACGGATGATTTCTTTGTTTAGCAGAAAAATGTGTAGTCTTCTGACACCAGCACCATCATTTGATTTTTGGTGGTTGTGCCATGCATGAGGTTGTTTCAGCTTGAAGTTTAGTCTCCATCAAGCTTGCATCAAAAACTGGCTACAAAACTACAATATACATGCTGGAAATGACCCCAAAAAAAGTGCAGATGATATTCAATTACAGCAGCTTATAATAAAAATTCGACTAAAGATTTGAAGTCTTTTTAAAGCTTTGGTACTTTTAATTAAAAAAGATCAGTCACAGCGTCAATAACGGAGATTGTGTCATTTTAAAATACGTGGTATCAAAAAGCATTAAAGTAACGAGTATTTTAGCAACCTGAGGCCATGTTAAGTTTTACTCCATGTCCACAGTCACGACTCGTAAAGATTTCATTTGGTACTCTCCACACAGCTTCCCCAAGCTAGCATAGTGGTGACTGCCATCTAATGCAGGAAATAAACTCACAGTTGAAAAGTAGTTCATTCAACCCCACTTCAAAGATTCTGGACAAGCCTTTCAAAATCAGCCTTGCCTTGGACTTGTTTTAATCCGACCAAAAACCTACTTAATTGCAACACAACCTGAGACAAAGTTCAAGTCAGGTATAATTTTGCAATTTTTTAGAACTTTGACTACTAATCCTCCACTGAAGTTACAAAATACTGCACGGCAAAATAATACGACTTATTCATTTTCATGTTTCATATCTCCAGTAATAATCAGTTTCTTAGTGCTGCCGTAATACCGCCATAGCACATAATCAGATCCTGAATCAGCCTCGTTATTTAAGGAAGAAGGGATGGTAAAAATGGATGCTATTATCACGCATATATTAGCCAAACATTGGTTAATAGTATCTGCTCCTCTGACATTGACCCACAACACACTCCCTATGCACTTTCCACCCACTCTGTCCTGACTTTCTTTGCTCTGTATTCATTACACGCATTCACAAACTTAAGAGGATTATGACTGAGCGCTTCAGCAGCAGTTGTAGCGAGCTGCCTAATAAATCTCTGCAAGCAGCAAAACTGAAACTGCAAACACAAGCTCTGCTGAATAATCACAGAAACACTGACTGAAGTAAGGCAGACACTCTTGGGTGTGACAGACTTATCCTTAATGTTGCAATGCCACAATGAGTTCAGACAGTTAGCCAACCTCTGTAAAAAAACAATAAACTGCAATGGTGCCAGCCAGGTAAGGACAGCAGACTTGTCCTGAATTGCCTCAAATTTCACATTGTAATTCAAGTGTGGAGAAAAATAAAAGATAGCCGGGAGCGGCAGAGAAAGGAAGAACTATAGCCCTGATCACTCCATGTGACACGGCAACCAAGCCTGCAGCCTATCAGCTGACAGCAGAGCAGGAAACTGCCGCTGTGTGCAAGAGCAGATGGAAAAACAGCAGCTCCAGGTGAGCAGAGCTTTGCAGCTGCCTGCATGAGGGGATTTTCAGTAACATTAACTTGACAACAACCTATATATAGATTTGAATTTCTATCTGGTCATCCCAACATTGATGGGAACCACTAAAGGGTTGAACAGGCTCAAGTTCTCAATTTCAGCTGAAAAGAGGAATCCTGGGTGAATTTTTTTGTTTGCTTATTGCAGTAATAGCTATATGAGTTTAAATCAAGCAGCTAGCAGTCTAACACTTTCATTTTTTATTTACATGAAGCAGGTAACCAGCCGTCATTTGAAGTTTTTAATTATATTTCCTAGAGCAGATGGGCTACTCTGTAGTAATAACCTGCAGCTGTGGCCAGCGATCAGTTAATTAGGAGAAAGCACATCATGTTAGTTAACTGTAGTGTTTCCTTCATGTTCATGCAGATGCCAGTCCCTCGCTGTAATAAATAAGCTGGGGGAAAAAACACACTTACACAACACCTCACTATGAGTAGAAACATATGCTAACGGATGTAGATGTAAAAAAAAGAAAACGCAAAAACATCTGAACATATTGCCAGGGATTCCTCAGCATCAATCAAAGATCAGTGCTTTATAGAACAAATCACAGAGTGAGGTTGAATTTCAACTGTTGCACCAAAAACTGCAAAGAGAGAAAACAGACAAGTATCACTGCAGGCTGTGTAACACAGAAGTGAAAGTGACAGCACGAGCTTTTCTTCCTTAGCTGATCCAACCACAACATTCTAATTCTGGCTTCAGATGAGTCTCAGAACACAAAGCACCACAGGGAAAGGCAGAGAGACGAACTTCTGATGTTAACTTTTGAAATGGTAAATAGCTGGTTTGAAGCTGCTGAGGGCCCGGGGGACTCTGCATCTCTTCATATAAGCAGGTTAAGGCTGATTGGGAGGCTGAGGGAGACTGAGTAGGGGGGTGGGGTATGTACTGAATGAGGATGGAGCCAGCAGCAGGAACAATCTTAGTCAGCGATGTGTGGGCTGATAGTCACCAGATGATAAGAGCTGTGATTCATTTCCACATTTGAGCAGAATGAAAAGTCTATGAGACACAGGGAGCCTCAATGTGTGTCCTCGCTCTCTTTCCACCATCAAAATAAAAGTACAGCTGTTCTACCTGGGGGCTGTCAATGAAAACATTCTGGTATAAATAGTTTTAAGAACTGGTTAGGGTGATTAACAACTCAAACTACTTCTACAATACCTGAGAACAACACAGAGAGCAGAAAACCTATGCCACACCACAGTTCTGTAGCAACAAGCTTAAAATTATTTATAGAAAGTCAAACGCTGAAAACACAACAGCTATGAACACTAGGCAACAAAGATTACATAAAAATTCAGAAGTAAAACACAAGACTCTTTCACATTGATACCTTAAATAGGAATCACATATTCACCTGCAGTCCTTGACAGGTTGATGGCATAAAAAAAAACTAAGATTGGAGCTTGTCAGGGCACTGGTTTAAATGGGTTTGGGAGAGCAGGCACCCTATGTACAGAGACTTCAGTCCTCATCGCACCAGTGACAGGTACAACTCCCGATCCTGACAGTATTTGGTAGATGCCACCCCCCCTTCTCTCTCACTCTCTCCCAACTTATCCTGTCTCCCTCAGGCTGTCCTGTCCAAATTCAAATTTAGAGCGTCGTCACTAGCTTTGTCTGAATTTTAACTTGCTGAGCAATTTGTGATCCTTACTGGTTTTGAAAATGAGAGAAACTTTACACATATTCAGTTACCCCTCTCAATACCAGACAGATGATCTCGGACAAACATCGCTATACTGACAAAGGTCCCAGCACGATTTTATCCTTTGAATTGGGTCCAACCCTAACCAAGAACTTGTGTAGTCTGAGCCAAGCTTAATACGTTTTTTTATTATAATGACTTAAATTATGACACAAGCTGCATGTGAAAAATACCTGATTAGAGCAGTGGAAGTAAAACTAGACTAAACTACAAAACAATGACCTACTGTAAAGCTGTTATAAAACTTTGGCAACATTTAGAAAACTTGCAGAGTCAGGTGATAATAAGTAAAGTTATACACTCACTATTTATATCAAAAAACAACTATAGCCACTTTAAAATAATCAAAGTTGTTAATCATGTGCTGTTCCTGTTGCCCTTTAAGTGATAGTTCATGTCTTTAAGGATGTGATTTCACTATTCATGCAAAGCAACAGTCTTACAAACAATCAAGTCGTTTATATTAAAGTACAATAACGGCATTAACTTCAGAGACCAAGGAAAGGGTTAAGAAATCAGGCAGTCAGGAGACATGATGCTGCATCACTGAAAGACAGGAAATGACAACTATGATTGGTATTAATAATGGATTTAGTCTGGTGTATATGGAGTTTAGTTTGAACTCAATCTAAATAGTCTTTACACAGGATGAACACAAGGCGGTGTTAAACTATGAGTCGTCTCCTAAAATAAGTAACCAGCTACTTCTGGTAAGCTCTCACATGAGGGGCACAATGGAGTTTTTCATTCCTACGAGCGAGCCTTGGGCGAGAGATGAAATGTATCACTTGAATCACTGAAGTACTTTAAGATGCAATGATCTACAGAGACAGTAGTAGGCATCGCTCTTTGCTGCAGCACCCCGAAGGCTGAAAGATATCAAGAGAATATAATGGATGTGTTTCTTACACAGGGACCGACTTTGATATAGAACTTGTTCCAAACTCTCCACTGATTGATTTTGGGATTTATGACTGTGTTGCAAAAACTTGGCAAAAAATAACTCTGTGTTTGTGTAAATCCCTCATGATTCCCTTATTAGGCAAAACAGTATTTCTGCAAAATCATTCTGCATAGAAGTACATTAAACAATTACACTAGAGTTATAATGTGATTCAGGACATCATACATCCCATTCTTTGACGTTCTCATGTATGTTTTGGGACACTACATGATCCTTAGACAGATACAGGTCGGACATTTAGCAATGCGACCTTGTCTGAGCAATCAAATCAGAACTCTATGCGACTATTACATCATGATAGATCGACATTTGTTTTCATTTTGACCTTGAGCTGACAGACTTGATTTAAAGTTTACCTTGACACAGGGATCTTTTCATGAAGCCTATAATGTCTCACCCCACCTCTATTGGCTACGACTGTGCATCCACACAAGCTTCAATACAAAATTAGCAACCATTTCGAAACCAAAAAAAAGCCATAATTTAAATTTGACTTTCTTTCTCCTCCTCGTTATTATCATCCACCTCCCAATTCTCTGATTGCAACTTGTAGGTGCTGACTTCACTGGCCTCCAATATAACGACTTTATGACAGCATGTGGCATGTGACAGCTTTGTTATTGTTTTTGTTGCCATATCTAAAAAAGAACATGAACAGCCAACAGTAAGAAAAATCCAGCAGATACTTGAAGTAGGCTCTTAGAATTTGCTTTGTGTTTCTTTGAAAACTACATAAATATTAGCAAGCACTACATTAGTATAGGGTACTGGTAATTACAAATCTGTAATATCCATATTTGTGGAGCAGGGGAGAAGGGAGAAGCTCAAATGTTTATCCGAAAAGTACTTATCTGGAGGTACTTTGTATTAAACTACAAAAGGGAGTGGCAGGTTTAAAAAGCTTTGTTGTTGGGTGCTGCTCTGAATGCAATATGTATATTTATGCAATATAATACATGCATTATTACAACAAAATCTGCTGCAATAACAGGTAGTTATCATTTCCTCACAGTCAAGCAGAGATCTTTTGGGAGCTGAGCCAACAACAAGCTGTGGGGGGGGGGCAGAGGGGTGTAAACCTGCAGGTTGCCATGAGTCCTCCTTTGGATGCATTAATAAACATTAAAGACTGCAGGCAGCAGGGCAACGAAAATATTTCAGGAGCAGTACTTGTATGTGTATATTCCTGAGATTTATATCATTCAGTGGGGACTAAAAGGTTGTTTATGTTTTTATGGAATCTCAAATATTCATATACACCTCACAGTCTTGTTTTTTTTTTTCCCCGATCCCAGCTGTGCGTATTCACACTGAGATCCACTGTGTCTCTGAAGCCGACGCCTCAACACAGGCAGCTTTCTTCCACAGCTCCTGATCCTGCTCTGAATATCAATGAATGGTCATCAGACACAGCTAACTAATCACATGACAAAATTCAACATCATGGTTTAGGGGGTGCTGCTGCAGCGGCCAACAACAAGTGCATCTTTTTCCACCAGCTGACAGACATGTGTATAGCCCTGTCCCATATCGGCTGCTTTGTCCGAGCTATGTCACTTGCAAAATGGATTAACCTGAAGAACCAGTTATCCAACACTTCCCCTGTCACTGAGAGTGCTAACTACCAGCCAGCCCTCTCAAAGACAGTTAATGTCACTGTAGTAAGTGGAGAAACAGCAAACCCTCCTTTGACTGGTTTATAATATTTTTTATATTTCTTTTTTTAAATATTTTTCTTATCTCTGAAAAAAATGAAATCTAGCAGGATTGCTAGAAAGATTAGTGCTGACTTATCGAAATTCTTGTTGTTTTGATTTCTGGCCCTTGTTGAAGTTTTTTTTCCAGTTTGTTGTCTGTTTACCTTTACCTGATGTTTTCTTTTGGAAAAGTTTGATTTTTATTTATTTATTTATTTTATATGTAACCCCCCCTAGTCTTGATTTATGTTTGAATTAACTTGTTCCTGTGCATTTTGCTGTTGTATGTTCATCCTCTTCAAGAGTTTGTGTTAACATTTTTTGCACATGTTAAATTTGTCAATAAAGACGGTTAAAAAAAAGAAAGACAGTTAATGTGCTTATGGCGGCGTCTAATTCCTGAAAACCCAACATAAACACACAGCACTAGTCAAATGAGAAACAGTTTTGTAACATTCATTTCTAAATTACACAACACTATTAATTCAAGTTATTTATGTCTGACTTAATGACAGTTGAGGAATCGTTAAAAAAAAAAAAAATGTGTTAATTAGCTAATAACACCAATCCAGGAAATAGACGGGGCCCGTTCTTACCGTTCTATAGGACATCCGTTGCCGATGTAGCGGGACGATATCGCCGGTTTTCTCGCCTCTTCGCCCTTTAAATTGAGACTTTTACAAGTGGATAGTGTTTTTTTCCGTTTCCCGACACCGTGGGCAATAAAATTAAAACGTTAAAAAACAGAATGTCCACACTGTCTCCGGGGTTGCGTCTATGATTTGCCGACCGGGCTTCACTGCATCAAACCGCCGTTAATGATGACCAGCTAGCTTACATAGCTACTAGCAGCCCGACTGTCAGACACACCGCGTTTAGTCGGAGCCCATGCGGGAAAAAGACGGCTCTCCTTCGGTTCCATGGCAGGAGCAGGTCCGTGAAAACTAACTTGATAGTGGCTTCATGGGTCTGAATAGAAAAGTTGACTGGTCGCACATGAAGATGACAGCTCGGCTGGTCCGCTGACTGACTGCGCGGTGCGTGAAAATGGCGTTACCCGGTGGCCCCGCCCCCTCCCCTCTCTCTCCATCTCTCTCTCCCTCTCTCTCTCTCTCCCTCTCTCCATCTCTCTCTCTCTCTCTCTCCCTCTCTCTCTCTCTCTCCTCTCTCCCTCTCTCTCTCTCTCTCTCTCTCTCTCTCTGTCTCTCTCGCTCTCTCTCTCTCTCCCGCTCTCTCTCTCTCTCTCTCTCTCTCTCTCTCCCTCGGTAATGATGTCATCGCTGCCCGGATTAAAGGGGAAGCTGTGGTGCAAATTGAGCAGCCAGATTTACTCGATGACAGAGGTGGAGGAAGTAGACATGTGCTTCAGTAAAAGTAATAATACCACAAAATAAAAGTTCTTACAAAGTAAAAGTGTGTAGGTTCAATCATGATGCTGCACTTTATGACAAATAAAGCATTAAAGCTAAATAAAGTAGAATAATAGAATAGAATAGAATTACTTTATTGATCCCAAACTGGGAAATTGTGGCGTTACAGCAGCAGGTTGTCCAAACACACAATATGAGCAAAAAACACAATATTAGCAAAATTAAACACAATATAATATTAAATACAAAGTAAATAAGCACTAAAAATATCAAAACTAAGAATGGGAATATATACAACCAGGATTTAACTAAGCATTACTAGTCTAAAATATTAGATTAAATGTAAATGTGCAAAAGCAGAGTTGTAAATGGACAGTAATGACATAAGTTAAAGTGCATGAGTGTAGACATGTTATCAGCAGAAAACTATTCAATATAACGGTGAGTAGACAGACAAATGAAGTGAACTTGAGTGCAGGGATAATTTGTAAATTTAAACATGTGCAGAACAGATTACAGTAAGGAAAGATATTATCATGATGACAGTTCTCTGCTCAACTCTGAAGCTGGACGTGTGTCCCATGGTGCTGCTGGGTTGGTGGGCACGAGAAAGAGGGAAGAGATATTTACATTTTACTTCTACCTACTCCTTTTTCGGACACTGTTACTTTTGTTTTGTTTGTTTTTTATACTAATGTTTTAATTTTTTTTGTCATAAATCAGTCAATTTGTTGAGTAAAAGCTCTTCTTATTGTCTTTTGGGCAGTGGAAATATATTTCTGTACCCGAGTGTGATGTCATCGAATCAACAAACAAACAAAGACCAACAAAACCAAGAACTGAATATGATTGCACACCTGAATAAAATAAGCAAACAACACACCACAAAAATCATAGTTCTTAAAAAGTAAAAGTGTGTAGGTTCAATCATGATGCTGCACTTCATGACAAATAAAGCATTAAAGCTAAAAAAAACTCAACTTTGACGCAGGATGTAATTTTATACTTGTTTTTTTATATTAGTTGTTAATACATCTGAGACTTTGTTGGAATAATATTTTAATTAATAGAAAAGAAAAGTGAGAAAGGGGAAGGAATATTTACATTTAACTTCTACCTACTCCTTTTTCAGACACTGTTACTTTTGTTTTGTTTGCTTTTTATCCTCATTTTTTTTAATTTTTAGATCGAAATAAAGTCATTAATCAGTCAATTTGTTTGAGTAGATCAAATCAAAAGTTCTTTTTGTCTTTTGTGCAGTGGAAATATATTTCAGTACATGTGATGTCATCACATGTATGCATGCACTGAATATGATTGCACACCTGAATAAAATACGCACACAACAACACACTGGAAACAAAGACAGAGGGAATGGTGGATATTTTATTGAATCAGGTGGTAGGTGTGCTGTTCTTCTTGCTTTTGTGTCTATCAGTAACCGTCCTCCACATGTTGCTTAGGGAAACTCGAGCCATGAGCAACGTGATGGTGAAGTTACGTCGGTACCATTCTCTGGAAAAGAAAGATAAAGAAAGTCAATTAAATCAAATGACATGACAACAACAGAGACAATATAATAAACAACAAGTAAAGCTCATTATAGCTTAGTACTGATACTTAATAAAGGTATTCTAACTAAACCTAGCAGCTCAATGCACTTTTACAAATATAATCAGGTTTTTATAGTAGACGTTATTATATTTCATGATTATTGAAGAAACAGGATAATCGTTATCATTAAATGGGATTATAGATACCACGGTCATGTCTGAGTATGAGGATACAGCCAACGGTTAGCTTAGCTTAGCACAAAGACTGAAAACAGGGAAACAGTTAGCTTTGGTATGTGCAAAAGTCACAAAGTCACCCTCAGAATCATTAAAGCTCTTTGTTAACACTGAAAAACAAAATAAATAAACCGTAGCACACTGAAAATAACTTGTCACTTTATTGTGAGTGAACAATGTGTTTGGCCTGTAGCTTCCTCAGGTTCGCCCTCTGTTCACACGTTTAAACACATTTGTTTGAAAGAGGTGCAAGATGGTAGAGGTGTAAAATGACAATTCCTGATTTGTATTTTTAACGCACAGATATATAAACAGATATATAAACGTACCAATCTTCACATTTGAGGTTGCTGTTTCTTTTTACACACACACATGTATAACAAGCATGTCTAATATTCTGATCCTGTTTTTAAAGTAAACTCGTGTGTCTCAGGCTGAGTAATAGGAACCGTTTTTACGTCTGTTGTTCTTCCTCTCTAAGCTTACATAACTCCCTCTTCACCTGTCTTAGCAGGACATCCCTGAATCATTTATAAGTAGTCCAGTGTGCTGCTGCAAAGCCTTCGACCTGAAAGGTCTCAAGTGACTTTGTCTTTGATCTCTTAACGCTGGCTCCATTGTCCATTGTCTAATTCACAATCTAATTGAATTTGGTGATAATATTTCAGCTCTGGCTCTCGGGGCCGACGTTTGTTAGCTGGTCTTACATCCAGACACAAAACTAAAAGGAGTCTCACAGTTAAACTCTGTTTTCTGGATTTAACACCTTTGGACATTTAGCTCCAGCTGTTAAATGTCCGATATCTACTGACTGAAATGATGCAGTGATCTTACTATCTGATCAGACATTAAGGAAACATGCTATGTTGAAGTGCTGGCTTCTCTGACAACAATGCAGCAGCCAGTATGTCCTCCTTCTAACTTTAGATTCTGCTCCTGAATGCTCTGGATTTGTTTGGACCAGAGAAGGTTCCGCTTCCATCGCTGCAACACCAGCGGTCAAGAGAAGTGGTTCAGATAGAAGTGATTGTACCCGACCTAAAAAGCCTCTGCATGTTTCTAATAAGCTCCACGAGCAGAAACGTGCTCAAACTAGGATCAATATTGGAGATGCTTTTGAAAAATGGAGAGAGGTTAGAACACAGACAGGTTTACAGACCCATGCAGAGCTGGATAAACGCTGAAGCTTCAGAGTCCACCACATGGTGACCTGAGTGAACTCGACTGTCAGAGTTACATACTGCTACTTTAAGACTGTCTGTGATTAGTTTTGCACCCATTTGAATCTCTTTTACGTCTCTTTATTATTCAACAAGTCTCTTTTTGTAATGCCATGTGATGTTTGTACACATGATATGAATATATTATGAGATTATTATGTATATTCTGTGATGTTCCTTTTCCCAAATACAAAGCATCTTAGAGTATTTCATCTAATGGCCACATCATGTAAGATTCTGCAGTAGCTTCTAACCTTGCAAATGAACAAAACTGCAACGATTCCGATTAAATGTAGATAAAATGAGATATTTCACTGCAGAGAACAAAGCTATGAACAGCTTGTTGTGCTGAAAGCTCATTTGTAAAACGATTTCGGATAGACTGAGCCAGGAAAACAATAACACCTTGGGGGGGAAGAAATGAGGCAAACGCTTTGAATACTGAATACTTCGATGTACCTGAGACAATAACAGGAATAACAAGGACACTGTGGTGCAATCTAAAGTAAGAGTTTACATCCTAATCACAGAAAAAGAAAAGCAGTGGTGGAGGTGATGTGTGTGGGCAGAGCACTTCTGGAGGATTCACTAACCTAGAAAACAAGTCAGCCACTTTGCAATGCTAATTCATAGAAAGCTTCTCAGAGCCCCTGCAATGTTTGTTTTTCTCTCTGCACAAAGTACAGTATGTAGAACAGTGAGGCTTAAAGCCCGCAGCTCCAGTGGAGGGACTCGTGCCCACCAACCCAGCAGCACTGTGGGACACACATCCAGCAGCACTGTGGGACACACATCCAGCAGCACTGTGGGACACACATCCAGCAGCACTGTGGGACACACATCCAGCAGCACTGAGGGACACACATCCAGCAGCACTGTGGGACACACGTCCAGCAGCACTGTGGGACACACATCCAGCAGCACTGTGGGACACACGTCCAGCAGCACTGTGGGACACACGTCCAGCAGCACTGTGGGACACACGTCCAGCAGCACTGTGGGACACACATCCAGCAGCACTGTGGGACACACATCCAGCAGCACTGTGGGACACACATCCAGCAGCAAAAACAACTCACTTGTTATAATTTGCATGTCGTGTTCTGTTTGTGTCGAGGAAGCTTTTGTAGAACTCGGCCATCTCTTCACTGCCCAGAGTCCTCCGTCGTCCTGAAGGAGAGAGAGAGAGAGAGATTCATTTGCATTTCCTTCTCATATCTCCAGATGTTACACACATTTTTGTTTTGGATTATCAGATTTAAGGCTGAGCAATCTTCATTTCTGACATGATCTGACGGACTAAAAAACAGCATGCAGGATTTTTAATCTCCCGTTCTTCAAATAGAATCTTGTGCTCAGGAGAGTGTCTGGTGTGCAAAAGAGTCTTAGCATGTGTGTAGGACACACACACACACACACACACACACACACACACACACACACACACACCACACACACACACACACACACACACACACACACACACACACACAACACACACACACACACACACACACACACACACACACACACACACACACACGTCTGCACATCTCCTCACCTGTCTCATCTCGTGCTGTCAGGCCTTTTGCGTTCAGCTGTGAAATGATGAAAGCTTCTTTATCCTGCAGAAAGCATGAAAATTTTTATTTTCCTTTCTACAGAATTAAGAACATACATTA